CCCCACTTCTTCTATCCCACCCTAACATGACCCAAAATCAAGACCATTCCCCAGCTCCCCTCTGAATACTGAAGGCAGCCCAAGATCCCAATAACTTTTAGCTGCCATATTACTCTACTCACTCATGCTAAGGTGGCAGCCCACTAAGACACCCCTGATTGATCTTCTTCAGACAAACTAGCTCCCCTATCTTCCACTTGTGAAGTTGATTTCTTGATTCCAAGTATTTGTCCTCCCAGTATCTATCCTTACTGAATGTCATCTCATCCCAACATGCCACCCTATAACCTTCTGGTGCTTCCTGGGTCTCCTGTAGTTATCAGCTGTCCTTCCCGGCTGTGGGTCCTCTTCAGACTGGACGAAGGTGAACTCTATTTAAGGCAGAGCTCCCCCGGTGTCCCCATAATAATTGGACATTGTTCTAGAAATGTCAGCGATGACAATAAGAGCTATAAAAATTTTAGGGAATAAGCACTGGTTAAGAAGAGCTTTAGCAAATCTCTCTATTTGTAGAAGTTATCAAACCATCAATAATAAGTGCCTGCTATGTGCCAGGCCCTGGGATACAAAGACAAAATCAAAGAATCCTTGCTTTCAGGGGCCTGCATTCTAACAGGAGAGACGTGCCCAAAGCAAACACAAGGTAACCCAGCTCGGGAGGGGACGGAAAAAGGCTTCCTATAGAAGAAGGGAACGTGAACGGAGTCTCAAAAGAAGCCTCGGGTGTGGGCCTGGGACCAGCCACTGAACGGGCAAAGAGAAGAGATAAGAGGGTCGTGTTGAAGACACTAGAAATGTGACTGCCCTACAGAGGACAGGAAGGCATTCATCCAGAAGAAACCTGGAAAAGGCGGCAAGGTCTGGCTGGGAACACCAAATCAACAAGTCTCTATTAGATCCCAGAAGTAATGGAGAGCCTCTGGAATTTAGGGGGGTTGTGACATCATCAAACTCCTGCTTTAGGAAAAATCCCTTTGTCAGCTGTGTGAATGATGGCTCAAGGCAGGGACACACCTCGAAGGCCATTAGAACAGTCAAGCATGAGCCATGTGAGGAAGTGTGAACTGACCTGAACTGAGGGCTGGGCGAGTAGAGAGAAAAGAACTCAAGCAAGAGACACTGTAGATACAGAAAAGGATCTGACGCCTAATGACACCCATGTGGGATGCCCAAGTGAGGAGGCAAGGATGGTGGCATCCTCCTATGGGGGGTCGAGGGAGAGTGAGAATGTATCTTCTTTTGGAAACACTGAGCTCCAGATGCCTGCAGGGCACCCAATTCTAAACCTCAGTGAGGTGGCTGGTGATGGGAGGTTAGAGCTCAGGGGAAAGTCTGGGGCTACAGACAGAGATCTGGGAGTCGGTCGTCTGTGCAGCAATGATTACAAAACTCAGAGGACGCCAGGGGATTGATGGGGGGAAAAAGAAGAGGCACACCTTTAGTGAACAGGCATGGCATCAATCAAGAACAAGCAAATGAGACTGAGAAAGAGCAAATATGTAAAAGCAGAAACAAGAAAAAAGAGCGGCACCAAAATCCAGAGAGAAGAAACCATACAGGATAAAAGAGTTCTCCATCAGAAGGTTTGGGTGGGTTCCTTTGTTGCAAGGGAGGGTAGTATTGGGGTTGGTAGATTATCAGCAAATGAATGCAGTGATAAAAACAAAAGGCATTAATAAAACATGCTCTAAAGGAAAATGATTCAAACCAATTCATTCATGCATCACGCATTTATTAAGCACCTGCTATATGCCAAGCCTTCTCAAAGAACTAGGATACAAAGATAAAACAAAACAGACCCTGTCCTCAAGGAGCTTACTTCTATTATTCTACATACAAACAATATTTGCATATAAAATTAAGTGCAAAATACATACAGGGTAATTTCTGAGGAGAGGATGCTAGCAACTTGAGGAATGAGGACAGGCTTCCTATCAATCAATCAGCAAGCATTTATTAAATACTTACTATTTGTCCGGCACAATGTCCCCAATGTACTTGGGGACACAAGTACAAAGAATGAAACAATCCCTACTCACGTTCTAATGGAGAAGAGACAACAAATCCATATATGAGCACGTATAACATCAGGTGACTAAACACAAATGCATACAAGGCAGCAGACCTTGGCAAGGTCATTTGGAAGGAGGGCCCCGGTAGTGGGGAGAATCAGGAAAGACACCCAGCCCAAGGGACTCGAAGCAGTGGAAGTGGAAGGGCCGCATCTCGTCACATGGAGAAACAGCAGAAAGGCAGAAAGAAACGGCAAGATTTAGCAACCCTTGATAGGGAATACAGGGTGAAGAAAAGCGAGGAGCCTCTTCATTCTGAGATTACAAATCTGGGAGGTTACAAGGACGGCCATGGCT